CTGTGAACTAATCTTTCGCCTCGTTCTCGCAGATTCGTTTCATTTGTCACGTGAAAGAGCTCGGGTCTTTTTTGCTCTCATTCATCTTCACATTGTGGTGTGTTTTTATTTCTTAGCTTTTCACCTGGTTTTAATTACTTATGGCATTTTGTGTACTTTGTAGACTTTGTCAGCGGAAGCAAACCATGTATTTAGTGTCGGAGAACCGCAGCCTTCTTTACAACGCCCACAATAGGGCTAAAGCGTCATCTGCTGTAAAACGAATGAAATGATTAGTTCAAGACTCATTCACGACTCGTTCATTTTACTGTTCGAGAATCAAAGTTTCGAATCAATAATAAGAGTCGGTCTTCCCATCACTAGGGCTTCGAGGTGTAGGAATTTAAGGTGCGTTTAATGGAACTGGGAAGTTTTTCATTTCTGACGTTGGACGAAGAAATGTTCACTGGACCGCTACTGAAGAAGAGGTATTGACATTGACGCAATTAAGTTTGCTTATTTTTTATAAGTGTATAAAAAATGTTATCAGTGTATTCACATGGCACTTCAAAGGCTGAAAGAGCAATTGTAGTAAGGGTTTTCTTCATTTTTGTTTTCTTTTTTTGAGTGGTTTCCCATTCTGCTTTAAGTGGATTCGCACATAAGGTCTGATAGAGAGAATAGGGTGTATTCACAGCCTCTGACCAACTGCCTGGCACTGATGCAGTAACTCCATCAGTGAAACACCACATCTATTGTAGTAGCTTTCAAAGGTTTCCCCTCTTTTAAAAAGTGTTTGAAAGTGGACACATGGCTAAAAAGGTGATTACGAGACCCGAATGCCCAGCCGGAGTTGATAAGAGTTAGGCAGTGTACAACGTCTACACATTGTAAATCAACAACCCTTGAAATAAAGTTAACATAACTCCTTGAAATCAAACCCCACACGAGTCCAGAATTCCTAGCTGTTGCCTCTGTCGATAATCCACTCTTCATGTTGTTGGCCTTTGACTGCTTTTAGTTTACCTGCATTTGGCAAATACCTTTTATCTAAACCTATCCTATAACATCTTTCCTAGTTTTTTTTTTTTTAGAAATGTCAGTTTACAAGAAGAAAAAAAATTATACATATATACATATATACATACATATATAGTCATAGGCAAAAAGTGAAAACAAGTTTTTATGAAATATACTTTATACGTTTTTTATACGTTATTTGTTGTTATTTACATACGTTTTTATGAATAAAGTGTATCACAGGCAATGTTAAATATTTTCAAAAGCATCACAATGGGTATTTAATTTTGCACAATGAATAATAATACAAAATAATGTATTTTTTACACAGTCCAGATGTAGCTAAATTTAACCCAAATTGTGGTCTCCTACCAAAGTTAACGAGGTAACGTCGATGCACTTCAAATAAACAAATTAGACAACCCCTGCAAAAGGGACGAGCCGACAGGAAAAGAAGACACTCATACCTCCAGACGCTAGATGGCGATAAGGAAAATAACATTAGTTGGAGACTTAGCGACTCTTGACCCATAATAGAAGCGTCCATGTCGGAACATTGGAGCTTGGAGTGAGTATAAATTGAAATAAGGCGCTGTGGCAATATCTTGTGGTATAATATTAATATATTATTAATTGAAAATAGAACAAAATTACGATGGCCTGGCTGAGGTTACAGCTACTACGTAATAGAAGTTTTTCTGTTGTGTGCGTTAGTAAGAAGCGTGTTTCTGAAGTACTGCGAGAAAACCGACTGCTGTTGATGTCATTAAGTGGAATAGCAGCAAAAGATAAACACTGGAAGCCTTGGATAATTGATGTGCTTGAAAATGAACCTGTTTATTTGCGGTAGTTTGCTATCTGACCCGTTATTTGTCGTTCTAAATGGAGAAATGCATCTGAATTGAAACAGCTCCACGTGAAATGTACATTCAAACCTGCTGAAATGGCTGCCAGAGATAAAGCTGGGACATTGACAAACAGACACAAGTATTGCTCTCCTGATAACAGATAAACTGTACTGTATGCAGATCTAAACACAAAATGCAGTCTAATTAAATGATATATAATTCATATTTGGTCCTTAATGATGATTATAATATAATTATTTGATTATTTTGCTATAAAACTATTTTAGCCTTTGTTATATCAGTGCCTGTGTGTCTTCCAGGATGTAGAGATGCTGCAAGTAGACCAACCTCACTTTCAGCATGTCCTGCAGATTGTGTCTGCGTTGGAGGCAGTCGTCCTTCGTAGTTTTGGTCCTAATGGGGGACAGGTGCTTTTTACCAAAGACACGGGAGAAGCCATAGTCACCCGCAGTGGGACACGCATTCTGACCGCCCTTAGACTGAAGCATCCACTGGCCCGGTAATGGTTTTTTTTTTTTTTTTTGTCAATTTCAGTCATTAGGATAATTTGTTTTTATAGGTCATATAGTGGCACACGCAGTTGTGTTGGATCCTTGTTCACTTTATAACACTGAGCTCCTTATCTAACTCAGGATGGTGGTGGACTGTGTTTGGAAACATAGCAGAGCAACAGGAGATGGATCCAAGAACTTCATCCTCCTGCTTGCATCATTGCTGCGCATGTTTCAAACAGCTTTACAGACTACCACTGCCTGGCGATTGGCGTACGAACTTCGGGAATTTGGGATGATGAAACTGGATGAAATCATCTGTCTTGGGGTGCTACCTTACGGATTCTGCGCTAAATTAGAAAATGACCCTCTGGACACGCACTATCTCTGTGTTAAAAAGCTATTGACCCCCTTTTTTCAGACTCGTCTCGGTCAAACACACTGTGACATGATCAGCCACCTGACCTGTGAATTTCTCATGCGTTCCAGAGTCGCAAACAATCACCCGTCTTCAGGACTTCACTTTGTCTACACCAACTTTCCGGCTTTGCATACGACTGTTTCAGGCGTTCCTGTCACCTGTTCACGGTTGATTGAGGGGCAGGTCATTCACAGCGACTTCGCAGTTCATTTCCCGCAAACTGACAAGCAGCCAGTTAAGGCTGTGGTTTTTACACAGCATGTGCAGCCAAAGTTGCTTGGTGAGGGGGACATACTAACGGTGGGATTTGAAGACCAAGCATTCAAGAAGAAAAGCATTGTGGAGTTCACTGCCTGGTCAGAAAAGTCACTTCAGCTGGTGTTTGCAAGCCTGCAGTCCTTTGGTGTGTCTGTGCTGCTGTCCGCAGTGAAACAATCCGCTGCTTTCCTGGCTTTGGCTGCACAAGCAGAGATGTGTGTTGTGGAGTGCGTCAGCGAAGATGAACTGTCTCTGTTTGCCCGTCTTAGCAGGACCGCACCTGTCTTAGACTGCTGCGCGATTGAAGCAGTGAATGTTGCCACGTTGACCTTTTGCTGTCCGCTGACACTAGGAGTACAAAGGTATGAATGTGTTGTGGTGACACAGTTTTACGGTAATGTCACTACATATAATTGGTGTATTGCAAATGTTATATACAGTAAGTTTGCTCCATGTGCGAGACGTGGCATTCTTGGTAAAGTCTATCATTTTTGACCAGTAGGTATTTTTATTCGACACACTGATGTGCCTTTGAAAAAGTATCAAATTTTACAAAGTTGGTCAGAAAATAATTATTTATTGGCTGCAAATCTTTTTTTTTTTTGTTTCTCTGACAGTGAGAGGTAGAAGAAATACTCCGCTATACCGCTAGATGGCAGCAGATAGCTATTACATTTTGTTATTAAAAAAAAGCCTCAGAGCTTTTTGACATTTTTCTTTGGTAGTAAACCAAGGTATTATTCAAATGAAAAAAAAATATGCTCATAGGCTTCAAAAAAGTTCGGGAAACACCGCGATAAACAACCATTAGGTTCAGGCAAACGAAACGCCTGAGAATCAGAACAGTGAAATCAAAGTCAAAACTCCATTATAAAAAAAAAAAAATGAAAACGCTGAAAACAGGAACAAATATTCAGAGATCTTTCAGTGTGTTTAATTTACAACTAGTGTGCTGGATTACTAAAAATATTTAGTGTTTTCTAGTAACAAATATTCAGAGATCTTTCAGTGTGTTTAATTTACAACAAGTGCTGGGTTACTAAAAATATTTAGTGTTTTCTAGTACGTGTTCTGAGTGTTTTAAAAAAACTACATTAAAAGAGACATGTTTAGCAGCAGTATAAAAAAAAGATATGTGGAAGATATTTCTCACATAGATGCCAATGAGATATGACAAATGTTGCCTTTATTAATTCTAGAAACAAAGTTTGAAGTCCGAAATGATCATTTGAACATTTCAAATTGGACATATATTATACATTTGATTTTTGATTTTTTTTTTTACAAGGAAATAAATATCTGTATGTAAGCAGCGGAAACATGCAAAAAAACCAAATTTTTTTTTTCAAAATACACCTCAGCATTTTTCCATTATGATTGTGTTCTTTGTCTTCTATTTATTTATCTATTTATGTATTTATTAAAATTAAACTTCCTTTTTTCCTTCCACAGATATGTTCATGTTGCTTTTCCCCATTCAGAGCAAGATGTCGTCGTAAACCTCAGCAGTCTGGTTATTTGTGGATCAGGAAAGGAGCAGACAGATCAGTACGCATCTGCCTTTCAAGACTCCATCAGGATGCTTCTTACAACATACGAACCCAGGGGCACAACAACGCTGTCCGACGAAAGAACATGCTTACTCACGGATGAGAAAACAGAGTCGGCGTCTTCCAGTGCACCTGATCTTCAGCAGCACGTGCTGGACTCATGCTGCGTCGTGCCAGCTGGGGGCGCCTTTGAGATTCTCTTAAGTCGCGCACTCCTACAACATGGGGATAAGTATCCAGTTTCTCGGCTCTTGTCAGATGCCCTCTTAAGTGTTTCCCGACACATTTGTACCCAAACCTCGGGTCGTTTCTCGCCAGCCCAAGCCAAGGTTCTTACTCAATGTGACGGCTTTTCGTCAAAAGCTGTTATGTCTGGGTCCAGCCTTGAATCTGTGTCATGTAAACACATACTGCTTCAGTCTGTGTTGTGGTGTGCCACCAGTCTTCTGCGGGTGGACAAGATACTTTACACACATGTTGTCCTAAACACAGACTCACAAAAATCTGCAGGTGATTCCTGGGATGATACGGGTTAAGCTGTACAACTGGCGTCTCAAATTTCCAGCTCGGGCGTCATTCCCGGCCACATCTGGCTCGTAACTATACAGTCAGTATGTCGGTAATAATTTTTTTTTTTTTACTCTTGAGATAAGTTATTTACTTTTAGTTGTTAAGGATTTGGAAGCCTACATAGCCGTCTTTCGATAATTTATTTCTTGTCATTTTTAAAAAAAAAAAAATCCAAACGTGTTTGTTATAGATAGGCCGATACCACTTTCTTAATATCCAGTATAAATATTGCAAAGTAGGGTATCTGCTGATACTGATACCATTCTGAAATACCTTCCTGTTACCTTGACACCTTTTCTTTATGTTTGTATATATGTAGCTGTGTGTTTTTGTTTCAATATTACTGTATTTGCCAGACTAAAAGTTGCTCCGGAGTATAAGTTGCACTAGCCAAGGGAGACTTACAGGAGTAGCAGATACTGGTACACAAGGCTAGAGTGCCCTCTAGAGGCTGTCAGTGTGAAAATAAACCCAGCCAAAGAATGAAAAAAGGTGCGTCTTATAGTCCAGAAAATACATTATATTTCCTACTTTTTTTTCTGAATTTACTGGGAAGCATTTTGTCGATTCTCTATTTGAAAAGTGCTATACAAATATATAATATCCATATGCTTTTTGAGAACTGGTTCTGAGAACCTTTACCTGGTAAAACGGGGGGGGGGAGTAAATCAATTTTTATTTTAAACAAAACACTGACGGTACACAGCACAGTAGTTGGGTATCGCTGGCCTACCTAGTCAACAATTAACAAGACAAAATAGATTATATTTATATATTTATATATTTATATTTATATTTGGACATTGAGGAAATCTTGAGCTCTGAAGACATTGGGCCTTGGGTGCCAGCTTCAAGTGCCCTGACTCTCTTTTTGGTTTCAAAAACTGATGTGGAAAAAAATTTAAAAATAAATAAATGAAGAGAGTTTACATATATATTTTTGCAAAAGGAGTATTAGGGCCACGTTGAGGACGAAAAGTTGTAAATGTATGAAAACAGAGTTAATTAATTTGCAGAGCTAAAAAAAAAAACATATCAGAATGAATATAAATAGATTCATTCATCCATCCATCCATCGTCCGCTTATCCAGGGCCGGGTCGTGGGGGTAACAGTCGGAGCAGGGACACCCGGACTTTACTGTCTCCAGGCTCTTCCGGGGGGGATCCCGAGCCGTCTCCTCCCAGAATCCAGTCATACCAATTGACTTTATTCATTAACAGATAATCTGGCAATGTTTCAAAACAATATGTCTTTCAGACTCTGATACTCACAGAATAAAATCTAGAATATTGAACGATCCTTCAAAATATAAAAAATGAAATACCACACCACTGGGTATTTCCGGTCTGCAGTAAAGGCTTGACTGAGCCGACTTGGTCCTTGGTTGTGAACGACTTGGTTATGAACGACTGAATTTAGTTTCAATTTCTACTTGGTTCTTGGTTGTGAACGACTTGGTTGTGAACGACTGAATTTAGTTTCAATTTCTTTTCCCCCCCCCCCCCCCCTTTTTCCTGTGGCAATTAAACATTGTGGTACATAAGAATCAGCGTACTCTTGTTGTTGATTAGTGTTATCTATGTTTTTGGTGCTGGGTTAGTCCTCGGAGCGCCAAAACAAAGCTGTCAACAATTTAATCAAAGGCTGTTTCTGGTAAAACAGTGAGTCATTGGAAATCAAAAAAATCCAAAATATTCCAACCCTACTTATCTGTTGTTTCTGGGGAAGTGTTGATTTATTTTAAACAAAAAGTGTGTGCTTGTTTTCTGCAATGATCACACAAATCTCCCACGCTTGTATAATTTGGTCTTGCTTTTTCATTTCAAATTAACTGTTTAATAGTGGAATACGCATGGAGATGTTTTCCTTCTATCTTAGAGTGATTGTCAACTGTCAATTAATTGGCATTCATTCTAACTAGCTTGTTTCATGACCTAATGAAGTTCACAGATTTCTTTCATTATAATAAGCAGACCTGGCAGACCAATAAGCAGACCAGGTCTGCTGGTTACCTGCAGAGTTGGGCTAAACTTTAAGGGTTGCTGCAGGTACAAATGCAAATGATATGATTGATTATTAATACAACTTCATCCTAAGAATAGTTTGTTTATGCACAACGTGTCATTTGCACTCTCACTTATTCATATATATATGTATATATATGTATATATACATATATATACAAATACACATATATATACACAAATACACATACATATATATATATACATATATATGTATATATATATACATATATATTACATATATATATATATATACATATACATATATATATATACATATATATACATATATACATATACATATATATACATATATATATACATATACATATATATATATATATATATATATACATATATATACACCGCATTTCTTATTAAATCACAAGCCGCCTCAGAGTCATTTTACCACTGCGTTTGGTGAAGGTTGAACTTTATTGATCCCGCACTGGGGAAAAGATTGATTATTATGAATGATTATTATTAATGATGGTGATTATTATTATTATTATTATTATTAATACTCATCATTTAATGAGTACTCATCATTTAATATGTAAAGAGTTCTTACCAACTGGAACCTACATAACGTGGTAAATATTCACAGCCATTGTTCATTTTACCCTTAGATTTACATAACCCAACGAAGAACCTGATTATGACACCCTCAAGAAAATGCTAGGATACAGTAGGTTTATTTGGTTTCCATTTTATCGCCACGAAATATAGTGCATATGTATTGCAATAAGCCGGTTTCTTTCAAATACAAAATGCCATAATACATGCATTTAAACAACAAAATTAACAGTTTTCTCTTCTTTTTTTTTTTTTGTTAAATATAAATGTATAAGGAAGAACGTAAAATCAATCTTTCCAAAAGAAAAACATTTAAAAATAAATACAATAAACCAAGCCGAGCTTAGAAAAATCATCAACAGTTATCGATAAATACAATAAACCAAGCCAAGCTTAGAAAAATCATCAACAGTTATCGACCAGTGCAAAATTCAATGCTCTGAGGCCCAGGACAATGACTACTTGCTCTGTCGGCGATACCAACGGTAGAAATGTAATTGGTACACACAACAACACAATCTTTCACCTGTACTGTATAATAAAACCCCTTCACATGAAGGGTTTACAATGACAAATCCACAAAAATCAAAAATTTTTACAGTGCATTTAACAGCCTTTTTCGACAAAAAGTTGGTTCACTTTAACAAATTGCTAAAAGGGTTCATTTACTTATTTGGTTATTCTAATTCTGTCTAAAAATAAACATCCACTGAAAGCGATATATTTTTTTTTTCATTCTAACATACCACATACCAGGTATATGATCCATTTTAAATGTTCTAATTGCAAAAAAAAATTAAAAAATAAATGTAGTCCTTTAGTCCTGTTTAATCAAACATTTAAAGGAAATACTAATGTGATCTTAGTTTAAAAAGGTTGGCGTTGTAAATACCTGCCGACCGGCTTTTTTAAGCATAAACCTCTTTGCCAAATAGTCTCAGGTCTATTAAAGTAAACCTGAGGTTGTATCAGGCCTAGCGGTAGACATTTATCAATTACACTCAACGTTTTTTTTTTTTTTGTTTTTTTTCCTGAATAGAAAATGAACCAACTTTTCTGAAAATGGAATTCTTACATTTCAGCGTGAACGCCTATTCTACACCGTAGTCTAATAACCGCATGGCACATTAATCTCGTCTAGTGAAGCTGTCCTTGAGACAATAGACAGTGTATATAATACAAAGACCTGCACCGAGTATAACTTAGACGACGACGCCCCGCGAACATGTCGGTGTCTTTGTCGGAGGTCAAACCAAGGCCGTGATTCTACGTAGGGACTGATGTTGTGTCAGTTATACAGTTAAAGTGAGTCGAGTTGAGTTGAGTCGAGTCGAGTTGAGTTGAGGTATCACACTATTTCACGAGATTTCCTGATGGCGCAACACAGGAGCATGCTCAAGATCATCCCAAAAATCTAGAGGGGAAAAAAAAAATATATAAGATATATTTTAGATTTACTTCAGCATGTGCCGCATTTCCCTAAAACCCATTTGGGGCGTAGGTCAAGGGGTGTCAAACTCATTATTTTCAGTTATACCTTTATGACTGTATTGCTGTAACTACTCCATAACTTGATAATCTAACTTACTGAATATTATTTATTCAAGTTAAATGATCAAGTTAAGAAACGCCAGCAACGTGGCCTTTATTATAAGGCAATTAAACAATCTCAATCTGTCTGTCTTATCAGATGCTACGCTATGACATAATGTTCTTATTAGGGCCCCAATGCGTATATGGGTCCATGGTAAATGCATGCCACATTGTGTCATCTATTAAAAGTGTATCTGTTGTAGGAAGTCATGACTGGACGAATTAGATGAAAACAAACTACTGTTACCATGATAATCCCAACAGCGATGCCGACTCCTCCAACTATGTGCAGTTTGGAATCAAAAACCTCCTCAATGGCATCGGGACAGCTCTGCAACACACAGGTGTAACATAAACAAGAAAAAGAACAGGTTTTGCTGTAAGTAAGACATTTGTATTTATGTATGTATGTATGGCATACATACAGGTGTGAAAGCCATACATCTACCTGCTCTTATGTATGTGAAAGCCATACATCTACCTGCTCTTTTTTGTTTTTCTATTCCAGCAAGTTTTATTTGTTAAATTTAGGAATGTTGGGTTATATTGAATGATCACGATTAATCTTAATTCCGTACAATCACAAGTTATAACCATAACCATAAACATGACAGCACACTGTGAGGTCCTATTGGCATCAATAAAAAAAAACCACGACCTGTTCCTTTGACAGCCTCAGAACATTCTTGTTTCTGTTGCCGTAGCGACACTAACACTCAGAGAAGTCACAGCACATGGTAAACTATGAAATGTACGATAGCCAGTCTTGGTTAACTGTACCTTAGTCATGAGCTCCTCAAGTAGCTCTCCCTGTGGACATGTGTCTTTGGCGGCGTCTGCGTTTCCAGTCGGACCACAGCAGTTCAACTGTCACATGATGAAGTCAGAGAGAAATTGACTAGCAAAGGGAAATACTTTTGACTTTTGATATTGTTTTTTTTATTTTTTTTTTATTACCGTAACTTCCGGACTATAAGCCGCTACTTTTTTTTCACACACTTTGAACCCTGCAGCTTAAACAGTGATGCTAATGCTAATCGATCAATGACGTCTCTGGTAGGATACTGTGTGTTATACTAGTAGCGTATGTCTGTCGGTGAATGGCTGTGTGCGGCGCACGCGCGAGAGAGAGGACAGTAGCAAAAGTTGAGTCCTGTCACGTTGAAGCGTGAGTTGGTTTTACAGGAGCTAAGTTAAAACGCTGTTTTTGTACCGTTGTGCTCGGTGCGGCTGATAATAAAGACCCCCAACTTCCCTCTTTCTGTTTACCTCTGCTGCGGACAAGCACAAATTAAGGGAGTTAGCTCTGAAGCTAATGTTAGCTTAGACCTAAACGGAAAAAAAAAAAATCTTGCTGTGTAAGTATCCCATGTTACAACATGGACACCTGCAGCCTATAGAGAAGTGCGGCCTATTATTTTTTTCTCGTTAAATTTAGTGGGTGCGACTTATATTCAGGTGCGCTCAATAGTCCGGAAATTACGGTATTAAAAATGATTACATTCACATACACATATAAACAGTACAGTACAGCGGTTAATGTTCTTGGAAAATGACTTCAAGTGTTTCTATGACATTATCTTTTAAACCATAAAAATCATTCAAATTTGTACGCATGTGTCTTTAAATGTTAAAGGCAAACGGTTATCACTTGCAGTAATATTTTTCTTGAACCTTGACCACAATGACCAAAAAGAAAAAAACAAAATTAACTATAATTAATTTTAACTGTAATATTGCAAATATATAAGTGAATATGAAGTGAAGTTACTGACCCCGCTTTGAATTAAGCGCAGTGTCTCCCTGAGCGCCTCTTCCCCTGTGGTCTTGTAGTTGTTGTACGTCTGCACGTAAAATGTTGTGATGTCATCTACTACCTGCAACAATGCAACAAAATACATTAGTATGTATAGCATACATATAATATTATAATAATATATTATACATAGAATATAAAAATATAAATAATAAATATACATAATATCTTCACTTGTGTCAAATAATATGCATTTGTATGGGACACATTCCAGGCTCAGAGTGCGCATTTGTTTACTTCTGCCAAGTACTTTTCAAGCAACGTTGTTGAGAGACGCACATCACTTCACACTGAATGATACCTTGCTCTGATTATAAAATCCCCAGATTCCTGCCGCAACCTGAATAGCAAAGAGTACGAGCAGGAGAGCGAAGAACTGTGAAGAGAAGGGCACAAAACAAAACAGTATATAATATAGTATAGCAAATATTTAATCTACAAAACCTCTATTTTGGCTGTTGCTAACAATGAATGATGTGTCCGTGGTGAAGCTCCTATTGCATGTGTCAGAGCTATGATAAAAACTTCGTCCTTTCACTTTACTTTACTCCCCTTGCCTCCGAGCAAATACAGTGGAACCTCGGTTTTCGAACTTAATTCGTTCTTGAAGGTCATTCGTAATCCGTGAAAGTTCAAAAAAAAAATTGAAACAATCTTCCCTATTGGAATCAATCTAAAAATGGATTCATCCATTCCTGGACCCCGTATGATTGCTGATTCAAACTTTACCCACAGTATCGTTAAAAAAATCTAACAATAAAAGATAAACACAACTGAATGAAGAATAAAGCTATAAATAGGAAAGGCAATTTCATTCGTCTTTACCGGCGCTGAGGAGTCGTGATTGTGCAACGTTCGCTTTCGCTTTCTTACAAATGATTGTCTCCGAAATACTGTCGCCGGCACCAACTGCTTTTTGTTGATCCAAATCAGTAGCAACTTTTCCACTTCTAGTTTCTAAGATCTTTGCTTGGCGGTCACAGTCACTCCTTTAGCTTCCTTAGAAGCTTAGCTTCTTTTATTGCTTCCTTGTTCTTAATAATTGATGACTTTGCTAAGATCTGAAACGGATCTGAAGCCCGATTTGAAACCGGAGCGCCATTCTCATGCTTTTGTACAATCGTTCTTTACTTCTATTGTTGTTCTCACTATTTTTCTTTCTTTCTTTCTTTTTGGCGATTCATAAAAAAAAAAGTAAAAGAAATAGCACGTGCAAGAAACACCGGCAAAATCAGACAACAGTTACTTAACACGTGTATCCCGAACCGCAGCAACTTTTGGTTCAAATTTTAGTTTTACCAGCAATTTATTTACCAAGTTATTTATGAAAACAAAAAAAAAAGAGTTCAAAGAGGAAAAGAAAATTTGTACAAACCGTTCCGAGCATACAAGGTGACTCCCGAATGGCTCCGCAACATCCAAGAAAACCCACTGCCATTATCACTGCTCCAACTCCAATTAGCATATAAACAACTGCACAGAAGAGGAGGGAAAAAAAAAAAAAAAAACATACCTCACACCACTTTGTTTAGATGTTAAGATGTCATGATCTGTACCGGCTTAAGTGTGGGGATAGCAACCTGTGTAAAAGACATGTGTAGAGTCCGGTCCTTCAAACAAGTCTTTGGTCTTTGGGTCAAAACGGAGCCAAAGGCCAATGGACAGCAGGGCTGTACCTGCAAACTGGAGATGAAAAAAAAAAAAAAAAAAGTAAATTACACATTTGTCAATGATGAATAGACTTCTGTAAAGCTTTATGAAGCACATTAGAAAGAGTGGGGGGGGAGGGGGCCAGGTATCTCAGCAGCTGCTGGACTCAAAACCGAAACCTTCCAGACCTAAGTCTGGGGTAAAGGGCAAAGGGCATGACTGGAGTTTCCAAAAAAGTATATCAAAAATATTTATTGCCCCCAAGCGTGGGCAAACCTTTTGACACAATTGTCCCACATTTATATGGAGCATTTGTGTGAATTTATATATAAACACCATGGAAAAGTCATGCACCAAATGCTAAAAATGCATCATAACAGCCTCTATGCCTGATGTGCAATACATTTTTTTCTTCAACTGATGCAAATTGTCACGCATTGGTGACAAAGTTCTAAAAAAATGTGATGAAGTAAAAAATATCTTTACCTTTGCTTAAATTCTAAATTCTATGAGTAAAAGTATCACCATCTAAAAAATCCACTAGAGTAAAGGTGAAAGAAATGTACTGAAAGTTATCGCCTCATTTGCATTTAAAAACAAAGAGCTGGCTGAGATATGGCCAAGGATTTCCTTCACTTTTTGAGTCCTCTACTCTCTGCTTAGCAACCCTCAACCTCCATTTTTTTTCCCCCGCACCAGCCTTGTACTTAAGTAAAGGTTGAATTACCTATTCCCTAAAATCCAAGTTACTCACAACAACGTAATTTGTTACTTTCCACCTCTAGATTTTGACTATCTCACAGGTTTAAAAAAAAAAAAATCAGACAACCACCTGCACACATGGCAAAACCACGTCAGTTAATGTTTAACTTAACTAGATTTTGACTATCTCACAGGTTTAAAAAAAAAATCAGACAACCACCTGCACACATGGCAAAACCACGTCAGTTAATGTTTAACTTAACTAACTGACACAAACCCATTTCTTATTCTTAATCATACATCTACTGTGAATGTTTGGTCAAAAAAAAAACAAAAAACGTTTGAACTAGTTTTCCGTTTTTTGACGAAAACATTCACACGACAGTGAAAACCGACAGTAGAAAAAGGTTCACCTACCGCAAATATAACACTGAAGATAATCATTAGATATTTCAAACACTGTATTCCTCCAGGGACTTTCATACTGTTGCAGTTAACAAACACAATGTTGCTCACAACGGGTACCTACAGGTTACTTCCGTATGGGGGGAAAGTGAAAGGATCATCTCGAGAGGGAGAGAGGGAGAGAGAGAGAGAGAGAGAAAAACTATGCTGGAAAGGAAACGCCCTTTTAATGCTACATATGAGGGCACAAGTAGGACACTGGAAATGTGGTTTTGTATGTGAGGTGATAATATTTCCCGTTGGTGTTGGAGTCTTCTTCTCATATACGTCTATGTCAGTTTTTATGTATCTAGAACTACGGTGAAATACCTGGGTGGGTGTGCCAGGCGTGTCATGTGAGTTGTCATGCAGGTTCTCTGTTCAGGCATGTTCCCCTGAGAATCAAAACTTCTTTTTTTTTTTTCCCAGCAAAGGTTTTACAACCTTAATTTTTACAGCCTATCCATCCAAGCTTTTGAAAACAAATGCTTCATAAATACACGGGCAAAGCAGTTAAACACTTATGTGAACTAATATAAATTAATTAATGTAAAAGTCATGCATAAAGGCTAAAATGCTTCTAGCATTTTGTACGCCATCTCTTGGGGGAACGTGGGTATTGCAGGGAAAAGGCAGATGTATAATGGTAATATAAATAAATAATCTAATTTGGAAAAGTTTGACAGGCCGAATTAAAAAGCTGAACGGGCCGCATCCAGCCCCCGGGCCTTAGTTTGCCTGACTTAGCTGGTCCTCAGGTCTGCTCACTCCTGTCGATCCTTAAGACTGCCACTTGCAGCTGAGACGTCTGTATTTTAGACACTGATTCCAAACCAGTAGTACATTCTGATCCCAACCCGTACCCTGAACCCATCTGTCATTCCAACTGCACACTATAATACCAATGTTTTACAATAATGGGATTTTTTTTTTGTCACTTCCAACGCTCTTGTGACTGATCGCTTTTAAATCAGCAGAGAGATCATGCAATTTATCCCGATTAAAAGTGTTAACTGTTGCCCGGCTCTGAATTAAAAATGACGCCATTGTCATCATGTCTGTCACTTGATTAACAAATAATGCAAAATTTGACAACCAAAACTCCTTCACTTTTTTTATTGCTTTATTTCTACATCAATCTATCTTGCAGAGAAACACTAAGATAGATTTTGACACATTTTGACACATTTCTTCTGACAACAACGGATAGATTTTGACACATTTCTTCTGACAACAACACTGTAAACATACTGCAATAAACATTCATTTGTGGTACAGCAAATTGCATATAAAATAAACCTGTCATTAATGAGTACCTTCACCTGCTTTATCCCTATACCATTTTACATAGCTAAATGGCTTCGTTGTTGCTGTACTAGTTCTAACTAAGAGGAAAAAATAGAGAGCGATTTTTGACCTGCGCAACTCACTGTGCATCACGTGACAGACCGGAAGTCCTCCTCCTCCTCCACTTCCTGCTACTCTTCGCTGTTATTGATATGCATTGCGCGTATATTCCACAGTATACGCTGTTAAAGTGGGTCACTTGGCCACCGTGGATTATCCTCAGTGGCCGCCCAGTCTAACAAGACAGCAGATGGTCGTTTTAGTTTCAGTGACGGTGCGAAGGGAACGACTATTCAGCTAATGGACATAGCTTGCTGCGTACAGAGATAGCGCAGCGAGCTGTGTACATTAGCCGAAAGTCAATTTGTTTAAATCATTTATTAGCCCTATAGTAACCCGCTGACGCACATGAATGTACGTCGCTTGCGTTCTCTCCCTTTTATACATATACACACACACACACACAATATGGTGTCTCTTTTGGTCGGTGTTAATTCAGACTCACCCAAAACAGCAGGTTGAAGGCAAACATCATGAATTTCACGCACATCTCGCCTCCTGACAGCGCAGCCATAGCTGTTCTCAGCTGCAGGTTGTTACACCGGGAATCACGAGCAAAGAGCAGGCGAAAAAGACACGGGCGCACACGACAGTCAGTGAACGCTCCTCGGCGCCCGTATCACATGTGCGCGCAAGTATTGTCCGTCCCCGCTGCACTGTCTGCACAGTGTGCGCCAGATTTATTTATTTATTTCTCTCACAGTTCTTACAAGAGCATGTCGTTTATATAGCGCGATTCACGTTGCGACATGGTTTATTTGAATATTTGCCATTGATTAAACAAAGGTGATCATATTATGCTTTACTAAAGACAGCGGCGCACCAACTTAGCAGTCTGCAGCAGCGCCAGAAGCCATTTCGATGACGTCATTTGCCTGTCAGTGTCCGTTTTGATAATAATGGCGGGATAGTTAATTAAATTAAACCTCTTAATTAAATATTTTACGAATAATTGAAAAAGCTGAATTTGATAAATATGACCAGACTTTATTATTTATTCTGTTGACAAATGTGGCTTATAGATTTTTGCATACACAAAACTAACCAAATTACTATGTGGACTACCACTGTGGCAATCCCTGGAGAAGGTACACGGAGGCCAGAGTAATTTCTTCATCCATTATGTACCACTTATTCCTTTGCAGGGTTGCGAGAGAGGGGTTGATAGCTGGAGACAATCCCAGCTATCAACGGGCAAGGGCAAGGGACGGAGTGCAGTCCATCACAGGGTCACATATAGAGACAAACTACCATTCACGCTCACATTCACACCGATGGTTTATTTAGAGTGTCCGATCAACCCAGTCCCCTAATGAGCTTGTTTTTGGAAGAGTGTCTCAAAAAATGAAAAGATAAACGTGAAGAAGTGTTGCCAAATTGTAATCATAATATTTACAAGGTGATGTTTGTCCCTGAGTGTGTTAGGTAAATCAAACAGTTTCACCATGTTTTTTGGCAGATCTAAGCCATGTGTTGTTTGGACGGTTTCAGAAACACTCGTTTTCGCAAAAAAGAAACATGTCCAGCAAGTAGGTTTTCCAGAGAATTGTTTGTGTTGGCACTGATACAGACAGGCATGGTGGACTAATTGCCACGGAGGGCAATCAGTGGACATTTCCTGGCATTGTCCTGGCTGAATCTGTTGGACGGTATAACTCTGCTAGCACAAAGACACGGGCAGACAGATATTCAGAACTTCATGATACAACTTGACGGGCCTGAAATCTTTAGGGAACAGCAGCAGTTGCTGAGGTACGAGAACTTTCCTTTTTAAAATAACTGCACTCTCCTTTCCTTTTGTACCTGTTTGCGGCTCAGATTGTTCTGATTGCAAAGTCTGTCACACTGTAAATCTGCAAATCAGGTGGAACTATGATGGTAATAATGATGTGTTATTATTTTTATCAGTGTTATTTAAATTAAGGATAAGGGAAAGGTGTTTATTAGGAGGCAATTTAAGTGTTACACACAATGCTGTCATAAACAGATAACACATGGTGATATCGTGGTATTCGTGTATTTAATTTTAGATGATCACACAGCGACTCCTGCGAGGAGTCTGGGGCCTCCTTCTTCTGTCAGGTGAGTGAGACTTTTTTTATATAATGTAACAGACACTATCATTTAATTTGGAATTTACCTTCAGTTGAGTTTCTGTGTCTTGAAATACAAATGTTTTTTATGATTTATGATAATTTTTTTTTATTTATAATTTTCCAGCCTGCGTGTCAGCTACAACAGGAAGATGCAGTTTGTTTGGACGGCACTCCGTTCAGACATTTGACAGAGTCTTGTATACGTTTCCTGGAAAATGCAGCTATTTTCTGGCTGGGGATTGCAACCATCATACCTTCACAATTCTGGGTGAGCCACACTTGGAGTCCAAATTAAGCAACAGGTTAAGGTTTCTACTATATATGTACTGGAAAGTTGGTAAAAAAAAAAGTTTGTGAATTTTACAAAGCAGTTTATTTTAGTGGAAATTGATTTTAACATGAAATGTAGAGGTCTAATTGGGGTTGTTTTCAAAGCTTTATTTACAGTCAGTCCTCTTTGTCGTGTCAAAGACAGCCACAGTGTGGCGGCATTTTACAAACTTAGATAATGGAAGGGGGGAAAAAAGTCAAATGAAAGGTTTGCAAGCAACCGTTTATATATCACGGCTCGACTCCTAGCTTGGCATATCACTTAAAAACGGTAAGCTAACTCGTCTGTGTCGCGTCGCTGCGTCCGTTTTGAGGAAATGAACATATCGGAATTTAATTGTTTTAGTCTAATAATTGCTTTATAACTGCAGCCGCACCGGTGTGCCAAATTTGATAACAAAATAAAATCACATTCCTCAATAGTTTTGTGCTTAAATATTACCATATTTTCGGAAATCATGGGCTGTGATATTTCGCAGATGCAAAACGCTGTCAGAGCAGACCAACTGTGTGTGTTAATTTCAGTGCCAAAATAAATAATTAGGTCAAAACTGATATCATATAAAGCAAATAGACTAGCCTTCGTGTTTATTTGTACTTCATTTAGGCGGACACGGCTACCAACCACTGCGCAACCCTCAACTCGTCTCCACCGGCGATTAGTCGATTTTCAGTCGAAATTTCACGACTTTCTTTTGGTTGACTACAGCGCTGTTACAGAATATATTTTTTCATATTCTAAGGAATTGTAGCTATCTATAACATCTGCTTTCATTGTTCTCTGTATGTTGTCTTCATATGAAAGGTACTGCTTTCATTGTTATCTGTATGTTGTCTTCATATGAAAGGTATTTTTCCCTGAAAATAATGACATTTTGTGGTTTGACAGGCGATTTTATTGATGGCAAAAGAACAGGAGTCACTCTGTATTTAGGAGAAGACTTTGAATTACACCTGTCGGTGGATGGCTTGCTTACACAGAATGAAAGAAGGTACCGATATACATCAAATGAGTGAAAAAAAAACAAGTCCTATTTGAAAATTAAATGATGTCTCCTTTTTATCCAGGATCCCTCTGCCCTATGCATCTCACTCTGTGTTTGTGGGCTCAGAGCTGGGCTACTACAAGCTCTGGAGTGAAGAGTTTGGTTTCTCCGTCACCATTGATAGTGCGACCAATGTTGCCGTGACACTGACCAAGAACCACAACAATCGCACCTGTGGCCTCTGTGGAAACTTCAACTCTGTGCAGGCTGACGACTACACAGCTCAAGAGGGTACGGGGCGTCATTGCAGGAAATAGATTAGAGTCAGAAGTCTGAAACTGTGTTTGCCAGCTAACTGTGAGTTCAAGGAAAATTAGGAAGGTTGCACCACTGGTGGAATTTAGGAAATGATTAATGTCATGACTAGGCAGCAACAGGAAAAAATGACAGCTTTGGACAGGAAGAGATAAAATTGAAACAAAGAAAGGTAAACACTGTTGGTGGGAGAGATGAGGAAGACCTCTGCCAATTTCTCTGTGTATTTACATGGGTGTTGTTTCAGGCTTTTTAACGGAGCACAGTTATGACTTTGCGAACTCATGGGCAGTCAGTGGGCCGCTGACAGTGTGTCAGCGTGTGTCAAAGCCAAGCAAGTACTGCAACGGCACCAAACCGACAACGGAGGTGAGAGTACAAGAAACTCAAAATACTAGAGTCGTAAGAAAGTGTGAAACGTTTGGAAAGTAAACTGTGGCGCTATCTCTCTGAAAGAAAAAAGAAAAACAATATATATTTATATAGATTTATATAGTTAAATATATATACATATATCTACACATCGTAATTTTCAGACTCTAAGTCGCACTTTTTTTCCATTGTTTGGCTGCAACTTATACTCAGGTGCGATTTGTATAGTAAAATATATAATTTCACATTTGTTATTTTCACACTGGCAGCCACCGGGGGGCCCTCAAGGCTTGTATCTGCAATCTGAAAATTAGCATGTTCGTTAATTTCACACTGACAGCCACTAGAGGGCACTGGTGCGAGTTATATAATCCGGAGCGATTTATAGTCCGGAAATCACGGTATATTACGGTCATTTCATAAAAGAAACATAATATTCTCTCTCTTTTTTTTTTATCTGTAGACCTTTACAGACTGCAATCTGTTAAAGAACTCTAAAGTTTTCCAGCAATGTGCCAGCGTGGTCTCTCCTGAGGATTTCCAATTGTTGTGTCAAGAGGAGGCATGTCACTGTAGGCAGAAGAACACGGAGGACTGTTACTGTTCCATCCTGTTAGAATATGTCCGTACCTGCAACACCAAGGGGATACTTTTACGAGGCTGGCAAGAGGAGTCCCAGTGCTGTAAGCCGGTCAATCTATTATAAGTATTGCTGTACGACGTGAAACTGTAAGTGTGTGATTATTTGTTCTGTTTTGACGCAAAGTCCCCAAGTGTCCCATTGGAATGCAGTACAGTGAATGCACCAAGGCCTGCTCTACAAACTGCCACAGTCTCAACATCCAGGAGGTCTGCAAGGACGAATGTGTGGATGGCTGCACGTGCCCCAGTAACCAAAACCACACGTTTCAACAACAAAATCTCTCTCTCTATTAGGTGTATTGACTTTAACATGGCGCGTCTTTCATTTTTCAGAGGGCATGGTACTGGATGGCAGGCGTTGTGTGGAAGTCTTGCAGTGCTCCTGTGTGCACATGGGACAACATTTCCCTCCAGGATCAACCGTCTCTCAAAATTGCAACACCTGGTAAGAAGAGTAACATAGGGCAAAACAAAACAAAACAAAAAAAAAAGTTCTAAACTAAATAGCTCATTTTTGTGTGTAGTGTCTGTCGCCATGGTTCATGGGAATGTACTAATGAAGGCTGCCCCGGTGAGAATGCCCTGCAATATGTCGTTTTATCAAATATAGTCCTAATAAAATATAAATATATTTCTCCATCTGTTGTTTGTGCTAGGTGAATGCCTGGTAGTAGGCCAGTCACACTTCAAGACATTTGACAACAAGTTCTTCACCTTCAGTGGTCAGTGTCAGTATTTGCTGGCGAGAGACTGCGCAGAGGGGGAATTTTCTGTCATTATTGATATCGTACAGGTAAGTACATTTTTTTGTACTATATAGTATTTGTTCTTACGGATCGTACATTATCTGCTGTAATCTATTGAGCAAAGGAACTGCAAACACAACTTATATTTTACAGTATAATGTATATTTCATTAGTATTTAATTTTTTACTCCACTGGAAGGTATAGAACATTGTTCCCCAAAGACTGGGTCGCGACCCTCAGGTGGATCACAAGAGGGTTTTTTTGGGGTCACTTTGCATCATGTTTTCCATGAGTTTATGAATAATGTCTGGTGACATGGGTTGCGAAGATTTGTGACTTTTAAATTTTTTTTGGGGGGTCACTTTGCATCATGTTTTCCGAGAGTTTACGAATAATGTCTATTGACTTGGGTTGCGAAGGTTTGTGACTTTTAAAATATGGGTCCCCAGAAAAAAGAAATTGGGAAACACTGGTATAGAATATAGGAATACGCTGTTAGCTCAAAGTTTTATTTTATCATAGCTTATGTACTAGTTACTATTGTACCCAAGGCAAGGAAATTGATGGAGGTATTTTGAGCAAAATGTCACGGCCTTTATAGTGTTAAAAATGTGGTTTACCTTAAGTTCTTCTACCAGTGTCTGTCTGTCATGCTTTAGCAATCGAAAATGAACATCTGAATAATAAACAGGATGCTTCCTGTTTAGGTAACAAACAAAATATAGAAAGCTCACACTTATCCAAAAGATAACTACAAGTTGTCTTGTAGTTCCAAGTTCGAAAAACAGAAGCCGATATTTAAGGCACTGGGGATTAGCACAAGCTCACTTAGCACAGAAAAAAACAACACAGAAGCTATGGAGAATGCTGGAGAACACTACAACTAAGACAACACACGAGGGCAGGAAGTAGCAGGCCTAGAGAGAGACACAGGAGGTGGGACACAAAATAAAACAAGAAAGACAACAGTGATATAAAGCGGGGGAGAGAAGTTTTACAAGTACGACAAAACGTTTGGCCCAAACCGAAATTGAGGAAACCAAGGCCAAAAACCGAAACACCGAAAGAAATTATTATGCCAATTATTAGTACCATTGCATTTATGGCTATGATTGTGTACTGAACCTCAATAAAATAAAGGGACTGCAATTGCGTAAATAATATTATTGTTTCAAAGAATAAAACAATTACTCAAATTACTTTTCGTTGTTTTCACTGCGTGGTGCGTCTCAACCTCTTTGCTTAGATGAGACACTTTAGTGCTGCGATTAAAGGAATACGCACCCCTTCTTAAAATTTCAGCATTGCACGTTTTGCAAATCGCTATCCGTGGGTCTCTCTCTCTCTGATATGTTGAAATACGTCCACACCAGAGACATGTTCCTCACATAACTTCCTGTTTGGGTCGTTTTGTTTTCGGTGATGAAAAGCCTTTGGGCCAATAACCCAAAATGCACTTTTGGCTGAAAATTCTTGGTGGCCGAATATTCTGTGCATCCCTAATCAAAATATTGATCATCTATTTATAAATTAATTGAGAATTGTTTTTTATCTCTCTTTCAGTGTGCAAATGATGAAGCAGCTACATGCACACGTGCAGTGACACTAAGCCTTCCATCTCTGGATAACATGATCATTAAGCTAAAGCATGGAGGACTAATCTCAGTTAACGGCTTTGACATTCAGACCCCAATGCATCATGGTATGACACTTGTTATTTGCATCGTACTGTACGTTTCCCTGTCAAGGCCAGTAAAGCCTTCTCTGCTGACCTAAACAAAGTCAGATATTTTAACATTTAAATAGCTTTTCTCTCAGTTGCACTGCTTTCAGTACCGTGTTTTCTGGACTATAAGTCGGAAGTTTGTTAGATCCAAGACATCCACCATCCAATCAAATAAGACTATAAGTCCATTTTCTTTTCATCCTTTCACTAGGTTTGTGACTTGTACTCAGGTGCTACTTATATAGTAAAATATATAATTTCACTTGTTTGTTATTTTTACACTGACAGCTGCTAGAGGGCACTATAGGCTTTTGTAAAAGGATCTGCTACTCCTGGCGTTCTTGCAGGCCTACAGTCACATTGGTGTTTTGAGTGATTTGATTGGATGGTGGAAGTCTTCAATCTAACAAACTGCAATAATGGTCTGCATATGTCTTATTCGTTTATATTTATATATTTTAGGAAGACATAAAGACAAAATTGTTATCAGTGGTGGGTTAGTTGTTAAGCATAATCTAACAAACTGCAATAATGATCTGCATATGTCTTTTTTGTTTATATATTTTTTTCTTTTGTTAAGAAGTTAATGTAAAGTTTGCTTTACTGTCTAGGAAGACATAAAGACAAAATTATTATCAGTGGTGGGTTAGTTGTTAAGCAAGAAGACTCGCGTCCAGAAGGCTTCAGGTTCGAGTCCACCAGCTGCCAAGTTACCACTGAGTACACATTTTTGGCAGTATTATTCAGCATGTAATGTTAAAATTCAAAACAATTATTCTGTGTGAATAATTCACAGGCCGTCTGCAAATTCAGAGATCCGTTCAATCCTCTGTTCGTGTCAAGCTTGGAGAAGACCTTCGTCTGGAATGGGATGGGCGAGGACGGTTGTTCTTAAAGGTAAATTATTGGGACATACTAAAAAAAAAATTACTTTTCAGATTTTCAGTACATGTATTTGTGTACATATATTTGCATCGCTGGAGTGCCTACTACTACTACTTTTGTAGATTTTTCATAATTTGAACAAAATGGGAAAATACACCTGAACTGTTGAACTGTTGAGGGCTCGATACAACTTTCGCAAAGCAAAGTTGAGCATTTGGTCTTTGGTTTTACATAGCATGGACCATAGTTTTTTTGCTTCAATGTTCAATCCTGACATTTTGACCAATATCTGACCAATAGCAATCCTGAGTATTGGATCGAGCCATCCCTAGGGTGGACCATTACGACTTTACTAACTTTGTGATGTAGAGAACTCCACCCATACACCTACATTGAACCATTTCATGCATGACGGTCACCACAGTGGACAGCTATTAAAATGTCATTTTCTATGATAAGAATAGGTTTTGATGGCAGTGTTGCATATAAGCCTCTACAGTGGATTCTCAGGCGTCCCCTGTGACATATGACATTTTAATAGCTGTCCACTGTAGTGACCGTCATGCATGAAAGGGTTAAGTGACATCGTTTCACAGCATAGTTAGGTGGTTTTCGTTTATTTGCCCGCTAGTTCCCGTGTGTAATTGGTTTTAATGATGGAAGAACAAGACTTTCAACGTGACAATGAAACGCCGTAGGTCGAGGAGGTCGTAAAACCAAGGACACCCTCTAGTTATATCGCCACTTGTCTTTATACAGCTCAGTCCAAGATGGGCCGGACAGACCTGTGGCCTCTGTGGGAATTTCAATGGGAATCGAGGCGATGACTTCCTGTGTGACTCTGGACTGGTGGAGGCAGGACCTCAGGCTTTTGGACATTCTTGGAGGATTAACGCAGATTGTGAATCTCCTCACAGACACGAGGTTGATCCTTGTTCCTTGAATCCAAAAAGAGGTATGTGAACTTTACATTTACAGGAAAGATGTGGGTGGGGGGGGCATTGTCATGTCATTCAACTTTTCTGTCCCCTGTAGTGCGTTTTGCAGAAGAGGCCTGCGCCGTCATGACAACCGATGCATTCAGTCCGTGTTACGTCCTGGTAAATCCTGCTCCTTTCCGGCGATTTTGTCGCTACGACGTATGTGCGTGCGTAGATGGAGAGGAATGTCTCTGCTCCGCACTGGCGGCTTACGCCGCCGTGTGCGCTGCTCATGGAGTGCTGCTCAACTGGAGGACCCCTTCACTCTGTGGTAACTGACAGATGGACATTGTTGATAAACAACGTAGAAAAATAATATGAATGACAAACTAGAAACTCATGAAAATGTAAAATTCACACATAAAGAAGAAGGGAAAAAAACATAGCCACACACATGTATACCAAATATGGACTTTAAGAACTTTTCACTCTGACAACACTACCATCATAACATGGAAAAATGCAAAGTTAAAGCTCAACACATTAAAAGTAAACAGAATGTTAATATCCAAGTAAGGGTAAAAATGGGTTAAAAATTAAAAAGCAAAACACCATAATAGTCCATAAAAGAAGAAAGACAGGGGTTCTTATAGTGTAGCGGTTAGCACGCCTGCCTGGGAATCAGAGAGCAGGGAGTCCTGGGTTCGATTCCCATTGCTTGATAATGTTAGTTCTACTCTGTAGGCTGCTAAATGCATAAAAGTAAATGTAATCAGTATACACAAAACACAGTGAGACTGCTGGTGAATAAATATTAATAAACAATAATAATCATTCAACATATATTCAACATCCTTAGACGTTAAATACATATTAATGCCTGCATGTCTGACTGAAACAATAAATTGACTTATGGCATATGGCTCATAATGAAATAAGTGAAATAAGAAGTACAGCACCAGCCAGATGCTTGTTAGCCTCATAAAGTTTAGAACTTAGACACAAACACACATAAATATACCATTTGAGTTTAGAAATATATATCAATTATTAAATTCATTGTTGATTCAGATGAAACATCATTTATATCAGTACGAATATGAATTTTTGTTTTTTCAGTTTGTCAACAATAGATCTGGGCTTTTGTTTTTTCGAATTTTATTTTATTTTATTTTTTTAATGGATCATTGAGAATTACCGATATTTTTGTTTTGTTTGCCAGCTTTGGAGTGCCCTGAAGGCCAAGTGTATGAAACCTGCGGGAATTTGTGTGACCGCACTTGTCAAGCTCTCTCTGGAGCTGAGGCCGGCTGTGACGGCGACAGGTTGTGTGAAGAAGGCTGTTTTTGTCCCCCGGGAAAGTACCTGAGTGACACTGGAGAATGTGTGACTGCCGCCCAGTGCCCCTGTCTGCATGATGGGCAGCTTTACCAGCCCGGAGATGTCTATGCCGATCACAAAAGTATCTGGTTAGTGACCGCTCATGCGTAAACTAGAAAGACTCCACACGTATCATCCTAACAGACCTTTTGTTTACGTGCAGCTACTGCGAGAAAGGCTCCATGACCTGCTCCTCCCCTGAAATGAACAATATGCTGTCTGACCTGTTCTACAAAGATGACTGGCCGTCAGTTAGAGGTACCATTTTATTATTTATGAAGACCTGTGGCTAATACTACTAATAATGTTTTTCTTAACTGTGCAGTCTACGAAGTCGACCTTTTCAAAATATACTCATCTCTAAATGTTATATAACATATTGTCAATGTAATGGACTTGTCTTTCTTTATGTATATATTTCTATATACAGTATGTGTACATCTGTTAGTCGTTTGTTCATTTTTGCTTTCATAAAAAATAATGTTCTTTGGATTCATTTTCAAATCATTTTGATTTTAATGTTACTGAGGCTAAAACTCAGTCACAACGTAGAAGCTGGACATTCTTGGTAGTTGTGTCCACATTATTCCCGGATCCTTTTATTTCCCATGATTCATCTGTAAAAACAGACACTTTACACTGAAGATCAACCAATATGGCAAATAGTCAGTGGCTTTATTCTTACTTTTCAAACCTGAAGATGTGGCAATAAGTTAGTAGTACTAAAAAGTCAGTGGCTTTATTCTTTTTATTTTCAAACCTGAAGATGTGGCAATAAGGGTATCTCAAAACCTCAAAATCTACAAGAATACATAGAAATGCTTTCACTGTAACAAAATGGAATGCATACTATCAGCAATGCGGGGTACTATGCGTATTTCAAAGTGAAGGTGTACATGCTAGCCAGCTAGAGCTACGCTTTTAGCTCCAGATAAGAAAAAAAAATTAGTGGAGGAAATCAGGTATATTGGACAGGGTCTTAAGATTCTTGGTGTGTCGTTTATACTTGATAGTGTTCTTGTTCAGGACATTGGTCCAACCAGCTAAGTAGCTACCATACCTCATTTTTCCTCTTTAGATATTTAATGCTGCTCTGCATCCTTTTCAGATATCATTTCTTTATTTTGCTAGAGAGAAAGTTGCTCTTTATAAAGAACGATTCATGAAATGTGAACGAACTTTAAGGTCTAGTGATCGGATTTATACCAAGTCTAAATAAGGCTTTAATCATTTCTTTGGAAAAAAAAAAATTATTATTTTCTTTATGCAGAGCGCCGATCAGCCCAGTGCCCTCCACCTTTACTGCGTACAGAGTGTGGTCGTGGAGAAAAAGGAATTGAGTGTGCACGCACCTGCCAGAACCTGGATTTTCCCTGTGTCAGCCCGACCTGCATCCCTGGCTGCCTCTGTCCTCCCGGCATGGTAGGGCTTGCTTTACTTTTATGTATACGTAAAATAATAATAATAAAATAGTAATTGGTCATAGGTAGGGTCCTAGAGCAGAGGTATGCAACCTTTATTACTGAAAGTGTTTTCTTTTTTTCCTTTTTCCTTTATGTACTGCGCTCAACTGTCGCACCTTAATACAAAAACGTAAAATTAGGAATGGGCTAGTTAATGTAGTTTTATTTGTTACATACATAGTAGTACACAATACTTTATGTATTTAGGTTATTTATGTATGTCTTTTATACATACATAAATATATTTACGTATATATGTAAATATATACGTAAATAACTATAATAACTAACTCGCCCCTACTTCGCAGATTTTCCCATTTAGCGGTGGGTCTTGGAACGCAACTACCGCGATAGGAGATTAAATTGTTTGTGATTAAATTTGTATTTTGTTTTAGAATAAACATCAACATAAAAATAGCAACAACAAAAAAAAATTAAAGTATTAATATCTATTTACAAACATACATATATCTTACAAAATCCATATTTGTAACATATGAAATACAGTTGGGCTTCAAGATACAAGTTTAATCCGTTCCACAACAGCACTCACAACAGTGTGTCGATCCGCTCGTATAAAAATAACAACAACAAAAAAATTTAATTTCTTCCAGCCCCCCAGAAATATACTATTAATTAATTAAATGAAAATACCCCACCATCAAAAACATAGATATAAACAAATATATTGATCATATAAAACAAATAAGAAAACATTTTATTTTATTGTTTTAAAAGGGGTAAAATAACCAATCGACAGTATCTCAAGCCAAATCTTGAAAAAGTTGCTTACTCGTAACTTGAAAAACTTGTATTTTGTATCTTGAAGCCCCACTGTATTAGACAAAATAATTAACAACAAAATAATAATTATATTGTTATATTGTAATATTGTAATAATGTATAACAATAACAGTTGTTTATTGCAAAATACTTTAAACCGTTATTTATTATAGATTATTCTGGATAGTCACTGTTGTATGTTTATTATAGATTATTCTGGATAGTCACTCTCATTTATACACGTCCACAGCCGATCACTGGTTTAACCCCCGCATTGAACCCATCAGTCACAGCACACCTAACTACAATGTTGCTGGTCTTGTACATGTCCTGCATGAACAAAAATTTTTAAAAAATCCATCAACTAAGCGTTCTGATGAATCTATTCACAGGTCCATCACGGCAGAGAATGTATTTTACCTGAACAGTGTCCCTGTTACCATAACAACAGGGCCTATTCTTCCGGCCAGGTCATCTCCGTAGACTGCAACACCTGGTAAAAAGATGACTCTTGTCTTTATTAGTGGATGAAATACAACTAGTAGTCATAATTTCTTAAGGCTTTTTCCGACTGAGGGTTTTGTCTTGCAGTGTGTGTAACAACAGACGGTGGAACTGCACGGGTAAGGTTTGTGACGGTGTGTGCCGCACCGTGGCTGAGGGACACTACATCACTTTTGACGGCTTCAAGTACTCGTTCACTGGCCTTTGCCAGTATGTTTTAGTCCAGGTGAGGCAAAGGTCAAAAAATGTGTAGCAAATTTGGGATGATGTCACAGCCCGTCTATGGTCTAGCCGCCATTTTGGAGGGTAAGCGGCAGTGTACCGTATGTTGAGAATGTCAAGATCAAGCACGATAGACCTATCAACGTCAAAACTTGACATCAAAATACAGGATTTCCTTGAGGTTATATTGACAGACATCTACATCTAAACATTTCTATTGCTGGTGGAAATGTCTTCATTTCCAAGTGTTTCATCTCTGCAGAGAGTAAGCAACACACACTGACTGCAGCATGCACATCAGAGGAGGGCTAACCTGACCCCAAAGAGGTGTCAGCCCACCTTATACTGTAACCCACGTCTTTGACATTTGGCCTCAGGCAAATCTCGGGTTACAGTAAAAACAGCAGTTCAGCATGGAACACTCTAGCCGAGTGGTTATCAAAGCATTTGTATTCATTTTAACAGACACAGCTACAGCACACGTTTCATACGTACAGTACAGTGGCACCTCTGTTAATACGGTTACCATGTTCTCCCTGCATCCGGAGGTTTTTCCTCTTGGTAATCCACTTTCCTCCCACAGTCCAGAAACATGCAGGTTCATTGGACTACACTAAATGTATTAAATAAAGTAATTAAATTAGATTGTAGTTGTAAGTGGACAAAATGTTCTGGTGCCCTTTTCAGTGACTGGTGGGATTGATTCCAGCTTCCACTGCAAAAGTTGAACGGTTATGTTTTACCTTTTTTTTTTTCCCTCCATCATGGCAGCTCGAAAACCTGACAGGCAGTTGATATGTTAATTAAAGCTACCTATATTATTTTGAAGTGTAAATATACGTATGTAAATGTCTAAACTGGCAGGTGTTTTCATGTGCACCTGTTTATAGGATACATGTAATGGAGAGGAAGGTTCTTTCAGAGTACTCATTGAAAACGAAGCCTGTGGAATTGCGGGACATCACTGTGCAAAAACCGTTACGGTCTTCTACAACGGAGGGTTGATTCTGATGCAACAGGGAGAGGTAATATGCAGTAATTTAAATGCTTCTTTACTCTTGGTTGTTGGTTGGTAGCATTGAAATATGTTCATCGAAACCCTTCATGTTGCCGGTGATCTAGGTCCATACACCTCCTACCCTTAGGCTCTTAACATAGATAGATAGATAGATAGATAGATAGATAGATAAGTAGATAGATAGATAGATAGAGAGAGAGAGAGAGAGAGAGATACATAGATAGATAAAGAGATAGATACATAGATAGATAGAGAGAGAGAGAGATAGATAGATAGATAGATAGATAGAGAGCACCTCATAATTTACTGTTTTAAAATCTTATGAAAACAGGTGAAGATGAAGAGACCAATTCTGCAGGGTTCACAAGTGGAGATCGTCCGGTCCGGTCAGTTTTATACTGTGCTTTTGGGGAAACACATTTCCATCAGCTGGGACAGGAGAACCATGCTGCTGGTTCACATCTCAGCCAGCTACAGGGTACGAAAACCTCTGTCATTTTTTATGTCTCACGATAATAGACAAAAGACAGAAGCAATCATCCTCAGTTATGAAATAACGAAAGTGTACACAAATTAACAAATGAAAATATATTTATATAAAAAAAATGAAAATATTATTTTTATTGCCATCACAGATATTAAATTGACTATAGTCGCTTAGATTTTTCAGTACCTACACCAGTAGGGAACACTTAATCGTAAACACTTAAACGTAACATCTACAATATATACAACGTGCACAGTCCCGCCCACAATTGCATTTCGGCAGAAGGTGGACTTTGTCCCACTCTTCGTTAACAAGATTCCCCTTGACACATGCAACAACAACAATATATACAGTAATGTATAAATGCTGTTTTTTGTATTTAGGGTCGGGTGTGTGGTTTGTGTGGGAACTTTGATGGAAACATTAACAACGACTTAGTCAGCAGCAACAACCAGCTTGAGGTTGACCCCTCCCACTTTGGAAATTCTTGGAAGGTTCATCCCAGCTGTGCTGATGTTACAGAGGTAATGTATAAAAATATGAAGTCATCATGAGTCTGTTTTTCCCACACAAATCCATGATACGTGATCAATTTGTGTTGACCAATTAAGGGACATTTTTGTGGAATTTGATGAACGCGGAGTATAGACACAACAGATATTAAGAGAGCAGAAGTTATCTTAGAAGAAGTATGTTAGATTGGTGCAAGACATGTATGAGAATAGTACAACAGTGGTGAGGTGTGCCGTTGGGAGGAGCAGAAGACTTCAAGGTGGAGGTGGGACTACATCAAGGATCGGCCCTGAGCCCCTTCTTGTTTGCTTTGGTGATGGACAGATTGACAGATGAGGTCAGACAGGAGTCCCCATGGACTATGTTGTTTGCAGATGACATTGTGATCTGTAGTGAGAGTAGGCAGCAGCTAGAAGAGAACCTAGAGAGGTGGAGGTTTGCACTAGAAAGAAGAGGAATGAAGGTCAGCCGCAGCAAGACAGAGTACATGTGTGTAAACGAAAGGCAGAACAGTGAAATAGTGAGGCTACAAGGAGCAGAGGTGGTGAAGGTGCAGGAGTTTAGGTACTTAGGATCAACTGTTCAGAGCAGCGGAGACTGTGGAAGAGAGGTGAAGAATAGAGTACAGGCAGGATGGAACAGCTGGAGAAAAGTGTCAGGAGTGATCTGTGACAGAAGAGTGTCAGCTAAGGTGAAGGGAAAGGTTTACAGGACAGTGGTGAGACCAGCCATGATGTATGGTTTAGAGACAGTAGCAATAGGCAGAAGACAGGAGGAGGAGCTGGAGGTGGCAGAGTTAAAGATGCTAAGATTCTCTTTAGGAGTGACAAGAATGGACAGGGTCAGGAATGAGGTCATTAGAGGGACAACACAGACAGGAAGGTTTGGAGAAAAAGCTAGAGAAGCCAGATTGAGATGGTTTGGACATGTGCAGAGGAGGGACAGTGGATACATTGGTAGAAGAATGTTAGAGATGGAGCTACCAGGTAGGAGAAAGAGAGGAAGGCCAAAGAGGAGATATATGGATGCAGTGAGGGAGGACATGCAGGTAGTTGGAGTCAGAGTAGAAGATACAGAGAACAGGGAGAGATGGAAATCAATGATTTGCTGTGGCAACCCCTGAAAAAGGGACAAAGCCGAAAGATAACATAAAAACATATTTTCCACGACCACGGGATGTGTCTTTCGACATGGTTGTTTAGGAAACGAGAAGCAACTCATTGCACCAGTTGGGGTTAAATAACTTGTTGCCAGCTGAAAGATAATCGCACATGCAGTAATTATCCAATAGGAGGCTCGTACCTATTTGCTTTGTTAAATCCAGGTGGCGACTTTTTTTTTTGGGCCAGGCAGTGTACAAAAATACATACATGATTATAAATAATAAATACTAAAAGTGCAGTTATAGTCATAGTAGGTCATAGAGTAAGTAGAATAGTATGTCATAAGAATATGTCATATAAGTAAGTCATAAGCATAGTAGGACATAGAGTAAGAAGAGGTGCATGTTAGATGTTAGTAGGTTTGTTAGGATAGGAGATGTTCTTTGAAAAAAAAGATACATATATATATATATACAACAACATACAAAAACGAGTTCATTACATTTTCAGTGTGTTCTTAGGTTTAACAAAGCTAGACTGCGTCAAGGTGTGTGTTGACCACTGTTACTCTCGTGTCTGAACAGGTACCTTCTCCGTGTGGCGATAACGTTATCAAGTTACTAACAGTGGAGCAGTCATGTCATGTGATCACTGGTCCTCTCTTTAGGGATTGCAACAGTCAGGTAAGACTTACTACAAACACACCAGCTGAGAATTATATATTTGTTTGTCTCGTAGGCTCTTCTTCACTGTCTTCCTGACTTTCTTTAGGTGGATCCCGAGCCATTTTCGGAGATGTGTGTGGAGTCAGCATGTTCTTGTACATCAGTGGGAAACTGCGCATGTTTCTGTGATGTAATCGCTGCCTATGCTCAGATTTGTTCTGAAAAAGGCATAGCAGTCAGCTGGAGGTCTAATGATCTGTGCCGTAAGTTGGGATTTTTTTTTTTTTTTTTAAAGAATACAGTTGCAAAATTGAAGTGATATTCTATAATCTCATTCCGACTCACCACATCACACACACTGCATATATTTTCTGAGGGTCAAAACCTAAGAATAAGAATCAAGAGGATTTGTGGTATAAGAAATAGCTTCATCCATAAGAAATAACAGGGAAAAAAATTCATCAGTTCCGGCCCTCTAAAAAACTTGTGTTAATAACAATGGAAAAAACATGTTTTTAATTGCTATAGAGACATACACACACACAAAATATAGTATATACAATGTGGTTTTAATTATGAGTTCTTAGCATCGAGACAGACGATACAGTAGTGGCTAATGGCGCCATGTGGAGATTTAACTTAACTTACGTTTTTTTTTTTTTTTTCGATATGTATTCTTTTTTTTAAGCGGGCACCACGCTCATCCATTTATTTTTTTTAATAATACTTCTTAAGAAGTAGATTAAAGAAGGGAAACAATTGGTTGTTTTTTTTTCAGAAACCTAAATGGATTTGTCATTTAATTAAATTCCGTTTGCTTCTCGTAGCCATGAGCTGTGAAGAGCTGAACCCCAAGATCCCAGGCACAGGGGAGGAGTTATGCCAGTGGAGGTATAACAGTTGCGGACCTGCCTGTCCAATCACCTGCCAACATCCAGATCGACTTCAATGTTGGCTCTCATGTGTGGAAGGTTGCCATCCCACCTGCCGCCCAGGTA